CCTCCCAACTCAATGACTCTGGAGTCATTGCCAAACTGATAGTTCTGTGTGATTCATTTAGGCCTCTACATTCTTCTCAATTACGGATCCTTCGGCTATCAACCACCATGGCTATAAATGGCTTATTGCTCACTATCATGTTGATGAGTGTTTTGGCAACACTTACGTCGATAAAGGAATGCTTCCTCCCATTGTCTAGTAGTATGATCACATGCCGCTTCCTATTTGAACCTGAATTTTCAGAGTTACTCCAGTTGCCAATCCTTCCATTACTTGTAGAGACAAGGTTCCCATGTCATCTTCCTCTTCACTAGCCTCCTCTTTTGGATCCAACTCTTCCGCCATGTCTACCTCCACCACCTCCTCTATTGCAATTATGGATTGGTCTTGGACTGGTGGCCAGGGCAATAGCGATCTCCACGATTGTAATATAGATTTTTAGGTTTTCCTCACCTCTACTTACCTTGAGTTATGCCATAGGGACAAAATTGACAATCCTCTTTTCTCTTTAGACTCCAACCAATTGTTTCCCCTTGAAGGTCTTGAGAATTGACTATTCCCTGTGAAATGTTGGCTTTGAGCTCTCTCAGTTATTGATTGCTCTTGCACGAATGCCTCTTTAAAAGCCTGATTCAACATTTGAGGCTTTAGCAACCGGATAATTGGTCACGATCCTCCTTCGATCCACTGATGAAGCTAGATATGAAGTATCTTTTCGACAAAGTGGAGTTATCAGCCACCACCATTGCTCTCAGGTGCTCGAAATCCTGATAATCCAGCACCATCCCTGTTTGAACCAGCTTATAAAATTCCTTAATAAAACTCTCTGCCAATCAGCTCCTCCAGACCTTCTCAAATTCAACCACAAATATATCTCACTCCAACTCCTCGTTCTTAGACAGCCAATCTTGATTCCAGATGTCGGTAATTTTCTCCAGGAATAGAGAAGCAGTCTCCACTCTTTGCTCATCTGGAGTTCTGTTTAAAAAAAGATACTTGATATGCCGTTTTATTTATGCTCGAGGGTTGACACCCTCAAACATCAATATCTACCTTAGGCAGCAAAGAAGTGGAACTGGAATTCCTTATGCAGTCAGCATTACCGCTTCACCAGCCTCATGTGACACTGGCGTAGGCAATAATCCTTTTTCAGAGGAATGAGCAGTTGATCAGGAACCAACCTGAATGTTTGAATCCGATACAACTGAACTACCGCATAACATCTCCATACTTTGATCGAATCCTTGATGATTTTGCTTGTGTGATTCATGCATTGGAGTCGTGAACTCTTATCAGCCAGTGATCAACTTGATGGATTGGTCAAGCTGCTGAATTCTCTGTTGCTTGGCAATCACTGCTTTTCCTTTCTTTCGCATAATTGCAACCACATATGCTTGCATTTCTTTAGAAGTGAGCTGGTCTGGTACCTTTAGACATCAGCTCTGATAGCGTGGGGGTTAGACTGGAAGATGTAGGAAGAGAAGAGAGGAGGAGATAGGCTCTAGAAAGAGAGAGACAGACTGAGAGATGAGAATATCTGATATTTGTTAGGAATTCTGATTACATCTTCAAGTACAAGATCCACCTATTTATAGACTTGACTCAGAAGTACAACCCGTTAACAGAGTAACAGGCAGTTGGTCCAACAAGTATCTCAATAGCATACACACATGATGCACATGAGTTGCTTCTAACTATTCGCTATCGGCTATGCCTCTAACAAACCTTCAGTGGCTTGTCGTGAGTGCTGAAACTTTACTACTACAGCACATTGTATATTTGCAAGAAAAACAATTCCTAATCTATTTAGAAAATCTAAGTCACCAAACTTCTTTGGTAGCACCGTCTAAACAATTTTTTGCCCTTTTTTTCATGACAAAGAGTTACATATTTCAAAATTTTGAGTTTAGTGGAAACCAAAATGTAAGTTTTTTACCTTTTAGATTATGAAATGTGTTTATGATGAGGATACCTTGTACTTGACTGAGTGATCTTTTTGTTTTTCAATATATCCAAAGGGTGCTATGTCATTTGGTTGCCCAAGTTGAAAAAACACAAGGAAAAATAAACTCTCTTACATTTATGCAATGTTATACTCTAATTAATATTTCAATACAGGTTAAGTGAAATTCAATGGGCAGCTTTTATTCTATTATGTTGCGGGTGTACAACAGCACAACTAAATTCGAGGTAAGATTCATTACTAAACTTTCTTATGGCTCTTCATTGAATGAATGCATTTCATTCTATTGCTAACAATTTACTATTTGAGAAAATATATACAGTTTTATTAACGTGAACCCAGGGAGCTGCTTTGTATGCACAAGCATTTACAAACCCTCAAGGGTCCAAAAATCTACAAGGTTTCCAAGATCTTCGTCATTAATGAGATGATAACTTTTCAACAGAACATTCAAGGTTTGGAACGAAAGATCTCTACTTCTAGTGGGAGAGGAAATGCCTAAAAAGTTCTTCTGTTTCTTTATTTCCATAAGACCCAAAGGGAAAAGTTAGCAAAATGAGAGAAGAAGCTTTTCTCTCTCCTAGCCAGCTCTAAAAACTCTGCACTACCAAATCTTATCCGCCATTGAGCCAACTCTGGCCTAGTGCCGAATGGTTGATGTTTCAATTATAGCCGAGTTAATGACCACCGGTGGCACTAGATAAAGCCAAAAAGAACAGCATCCCTCATTCCACTATTTTTCTTTTGGGTTATTTGGACAGAAAAAAATGGAACAGTTCTTTTTATCATCTGCTCTCCTTTTGATAGAATTCAAGACTGTTGGTTCTAGACTTTGTATACTTTGTTCAAAGTTCATCTTCTTTCTTCGTGGTGGAAAATGGCCTAGAACCTTACAGATTTTTTAACCAATCAATATCATATGTTCTATTGTACTTGGATGGACCCCTCTGGTGCCTAGTAATAATGTCCTCTTTTCCATTTAAAAAACGATTACCTAGGATAGAGAAGATTGAGAGATAAATTCCACAACTTTCTCGCCTTCAAACACCAAAGGAGGAGATGGTTGGGAGATATGTTCTCCCACAAACATGATGAACACCATTAACAAGGATTCTTCCTCTCTTTCTCAATCTCTAAACAGGTGGAATTCCTGTGCATGTAGCTTCTGAAAACACAAAGCCATTCAAGGAAAACTTCCAAATCTGTTTCCAAGGAGACTTGAAGGCGACCTTATTTTGGGATGATAGGTATAGTAGAAAGATTTTGTTGAAATCCTTCCATCATTAGTGAGAGGTCAAACTAGAGCATCATCCAGCAAAGGCTTCACCCTCTACATAGCTATGACAGCCAGCAAGGCTAGGAAATCACCAACTTCCCAATTATTTTGGATACATAATCAATTCAATATTCTAAGCTGCCAGCAAGTTGCTTCAACTTCAAGTTATTGAACAAAAAAGTTGCTTCAACTTCAAGATAGTCAGCACTGAAGCACTCTAACCTTTTGCGCAGCTAGAAAGGACCGAAGAAAGTGAAACTTTTAAAGTTGCTACTCATTAGAATCAGTTTATCCTTCCCTAAAGCCCACTTTGTTGAAGTCAAACAAGGATTTGATACTGATAGTCATAAAGTGTATCGTAGATTTTGCCTTCTATTGATCTATCTCCACAAACTAGTGCCATAACCCTGTCATTTCTTGTCTATCCCATAGCCTTCCCAGCAATGACATATATAGC